CAGGGGAGGCCCATTCCTCCCTTTTCCTTACTTAGCTGCAGAGTTTTGTACCTAACTCTGGGTTTTTTYCCTTGCCATAAAAACCTAGATATTAATCTATCCCAATCTGAAAAATATTTCTGAGGTAYTTCTACTGGAAGACATTGGAAAAAATATAATAAACATGGGAGAATGTTCATTTTAATGGACATAATTCTGGAACTAAGGGATAAAATGGGTATGACACTCCATCTCTGTACGTCTGCTGTTATTCTCGCATTAAGAGGACAGTAATTGTGGTCAAATAATTTTACTAAATTCTTTTGTATGTTAATTCCAAGATATTTAATGTATTCTACATCCCAATTCCATTTGTAGACTGTCCTGATCTGTGCTGGGGAGTTAATTGATAAGACCTGGATTTTTTTATATTGACTTTATAGCCTGAAAGTGCACCGAATTGCCTCAACATTTCCATTAACTTTGGTAACATTTGTGTGGGCTGGGTTAACATTACGAGTAAATCATCTGCAAATAGAGCCAGCTTCTGTTCCCCTGAGGGAGTTATGACACCTTTAATGACTGCATTTTCTCGTATCATCTGACTTAGGGCTTCTATGAAAATAGCAAACAGGAGTGGCGTCAAACAGCACCCCTGTCTTGTATCTCTTTTCAATTCAAATGGTTTAGTAAGGTCACCATTGATTTTAATTCTGGCTATAGGTCTGTCATAAAGTGCTGCAATCATTTCAATCATGTTGGTCTGAAAGCCAAATTTTGCTAAAACTTTGAACAGGAAAGACCATCTTACACAGTCAAATGCCTTTTCGGCATCTAGGCTGACCAAAAGTAATTCCAGTTTTTCTCTTGTGGCTTGGTTCACAACATGGAGTATCCTCCTGATATTCTCCTGGGCCTGTCTTTGTCTTATAAATCCTGACTGGTCTTTGTGGATTAGTCCTGGTAAAATGATTTCTAATCTTTTAGATAAGATGCTTGTGAACAGTTTATAATCAATATTTAATATACTGATTGGGCGATAGTTTGCACAATCCGTTCGGTCTTTATCGTCCTTAGGAATAATAGTAATAATAATAATAATAGTAATAATTGCTTCCCTCCACGAAGTGGGGATTGTTCTTTGTTCCAGCACCCAGTTAAATGTTTTTAGAAGTATGGGCCCTATTTGGTCTTTCATTAATTTGTACCATTCTGGGGGATACCCATCAGATCCAGGTACTTTCCCTCTGTTATGGACTAATTATCTATCTGTGTCACTTGTTCAATGTTAATCTGTGTTGGCCCAGACAACAGGACTCCGCAACGGACTGACCTCTCTTGTTTGATAAGAAACTCTTTGAGCTGGGAGCCCTGTGATAGGCTGGAGAGTACATTGGGCGATCTGTGATTGGTTATAAGCACGTCATATGATGTTATCATGGTGTATATTATTGGCTGTAGGGCTGCCACAAATGATTATTTTAATAATCGATTAATCACCGATTATTTATTCGATTAGTCGACTAATCAGATCATACGTTACTTGAATATAAAACATACAGCTTATCAAGTCAGAATGCAGCTGCTATTCTATAACCATGGTTAGATTTTAGCTATATGCTGTAACTAACTTGCTGTGGAAGGTAAGTTCTGCTCTGCAGATATTACACAGGTTTCTGT